TGGTGCGCTCAGGGATCAAACGGCAGCAGCCATCGGTGGCTCACAAGCTGCAGGAAAGCAGCTGTGGTAAAGAGCAAGAGCGAGGGCCAAGCCTCGCACAGTAAACAGCTAATTCCCTCTGTTTTGTTTGTTTATTTCCACTGTGGGCATTGTAGTTTCAGAAATCGGAACAGAAGCGCTGATGCTGGAATAGCCTGGGAGGGAAGCAGGGTGAAGGGGCAGCCCGGGGCCTGCAGGCAGCAGTGTGGGCCCAGCGGCCGTAGGCCCGGTGACAGCTGTGTCGGAGGCTGCAGGAAGGCAGTGCTTGTTCTGTGCCTGTGCTGCGCTGGGAGCGCGTACAGCCTGTGTGCTGAGCACCAGCAGCAGATCCGAGAACGCGCTAAGGGCCCTTCTCGTCACGCTGTCATCGTGGGATGGAGGGGGAGAGAAAGGAGCTTTCCGTATTCCCTTCAGCCTAGAGTCAGAAACAAGCACGTTTTGCCTGGTTCTGTTTACTGTCTTTTTATGTAGGCTTACAAGACGTGCTGCTCTTTGTTTTCTGAAAGGTGATGTCTTTAAGTGCTCGGTAATAATTTCTCAGTACGCTAAACCAGAAACTTACAAAAAGCTTAATACTGTTTGTTTTCTTTCTTTAATATGTACACGGAGCATATCTCTTTTGCTGTGGGAGGATCTTAAGCTAGTTCTTTCCTTAGTGAGTCTCTGTGCTCCAGACATCAGGAATATCAGCATGATAACGTGCTATAATGAAAGAATGGCTGCTGAAATAAAATGAGCCTGAATTAAAAAGCACATCAAAATCAAATGCAGAATGAGAATGGGTTTTAGTAAATATTAGCTGGCTGTGCTTAAAACAGGTGTTGTGTTTATTCAGGAATAGGGAAAATAGAACTTTCTGATAACAGCAGGGGGTCCTCGCTGCCTTTCACAGAGCTCAGAGCGCCCAACAGAAGTCTGAGGCTTTTAGTGGAGAACTGTGTGAAAGTGAATTTGTGATATTCCTTCTAGAAAAAAAACAACTCTTCTAGAAGGTGAGAAGCATTACCTTTTTCATCTTGATCTGTCTTCAGACTTTGAGAACAAGGAACAAACAGTTCCCTGTTAGCAGTCCCCTCAAACAGATATTTTTGTCATGTGAACATCTGTTCACTAACAAATCATTTTCGTATTGTCTCGGAATAATTATTCAGATGCCTGTGACATACTAGATCCAGAGCGATCTGTGGCTTAAGGTAAGAATTCATGTATGGCTTCTTAGTTTCAGCTATCTTGCTTCCTGTTAAAACACAAGTTCCACAAAAGAGAAAAAGAGCTTCTGTATTCAAGTACTTTACGGTGTCATTAAATATAGAAGGCAAATGTACACTAGGAGCAAAACTTCAAGTTTATGCAGCTGTTCTATACATATGTGAAATTGCTTCAGTATATGCACTAAAAATAAGCTAACAGTTACATTGAAGAGGTCAACTTCTCTTAGGAACTGTGGCAGACAGGATGTCTGGACATATACTCGTTCCAGCATATTGATTTGAAAGTTGACCCACAGCAAAAACTTTACAGGTTGCGTGCAAATATATCTAAAATGATTTGTTTTCTCAGTGACCCTTTTACACAATGTTAGCAGAAAATAAACAACGAAGGAATTGTTCTTTTCAGTGCTCTAGTGATGATAGTGATGATGGCAAGATTCAAATACCTCTTTTCTGAGTCATCCTGCAGATCGTCTGGGCTCAAAGTGAAAAGAACAGGTTTGTGTCACTGGATCATCAAAGTGAACTTGCCAGCCGTACTTGTGACAAGCTGGAGAAAGTGAAAGATGACTTCTGATTGCAGCAGTTTAAAACAAAAGCAAAAGCAACAAGGTGTGGTTTCTTACTTGGTGTGCACAGGATAGGACTTGCATCTGCTGAAGGAAGGAAGAAGGTGGACTCATTTCTGCCCCTTGCCAGTCAGTGACGCGTTTTGCTTCCTGCAGTGTGACACCCTCCCTGCCATCAGAAAGGAGGGATTTTGCAGCTGGAGCAGTGTGAAGGGAGGGAGAGCAGGGCAGATAGGTCAGTAGCATGGGGGAGTGTGCCAGCTGCAGCGTAAGTGAAACGAAAGTGGAGAAACTGAAGGATGGCCCATAAACTCTAAGTAGCACTGGGATTTACTTAGGCTAACAGTATACATCAAGAGGTTTAATCTTTCTTCATGCATCCTTGAAGAATCAGTCTTTTAGCAGGCTTCAGGGGCACACTGAGAGGAGCTTTACTGAAAGTACGGTATCTGATTTTGAAACCGTTCTATAAATATGGAAGTGTAAGAGATTATCTGTTGCTGTGAGGTACCCTGCCATATAATCGCTAATCACAATGCATCTGAATTTTGACTGTTTGCTTCTTATAGCTTATGTACCTAGCTTCTGTCTGATATTTGTGGTAGGGTAACATCAGTAGAAGCTTGTGTAGCTAATCTCCATCAATCTGCTGCTGAGAGTCTCCCTGTTGCTCCTTGTGATTCTCACCCTGTGATGCTTTAAACTCCAAATCCTTGTGATAGCAGAGCTCGTCTCTTTCTTACCCTGTAAATGTGTGCTAAACTTCTTTGTTGAGCACGTTTTCCCATTTCGGTTTGATGCTCCTTAATTTTAAAATGCCATGTATAATTGCCTGTTTCCTGTCGCACGCAAGTTGCCGTTTATCAAAATATGCTTAATACTGATTTATTCCCATAACTGATATCCCCTGTAAGTAGTTTTCGCTATACTTCGTAACCATGGAAATGGTGTACGGGCGGTATTTATAAGGTAGAAGAAAAACAGGGTGTCTAATGGGACCCCTGCTGTTCTGAAATCTCTTCGACGGCAACAAAAAAAGTCCAGGCTCTCGGGATTCTGTATAAATGCAATAAGTCTTCTGAAAAGCAGAGTGATTTTTTCTATAAAATATGTATTCACTTTAAATAAATTAATTCACACGTTCTTGTTGGATGGTCCTTTAAAAATTCATGTTCTTTTATCTCTGTTCTCTAAGTTTCGTAATCTTGAAACTTTGCTCTTCATCAGAATGCCAGCTCTCAGAAAATTTTAATTGATTTGCAGTCACAGTGCTGACACTGAAACTGAGAGCTAGTTGTTGCTTGCTGGTGCTTCTGGTTAATGCTTGTTTAATGTTTTAGCACTTTCACTGCTACTTCCCTAAAATCTCTGCTGTTGGGCAGAGCCTTTTCCTCTCCAAACTGCTGAAATGTGTAGTGTGAGAGGGGAAGAGGGTAGAGGGAGGATTATTGCTTCTTCTTGACTTTTTTGCTTTTTTTTTCTCTCCAATTTTATTCCTCATCATTATTATTCTGCTCTAACTTTTTTCACTTGTTTGGCATTTCCCCCTGGTGGCAGATGAAGCTAACAGCACTGCGTGCTGTGGAAATGGCAGACCGGAGTCCTTGAACGGCCCTTTTTCACGATTGAGCTGCTAGCTGTTTTTCTGATCATTTATTTATTTATTTGCTTATTTTTGATGCTGTTTTTTCCCCTGATGACCCCCAGGAGACCAACAGGACTCAAGGAGCAGCTCGCCCAGCAGGGGCTGCAAGCACCCCCAGCTGCCCCCTGAGAAGCTCTCAGCGCTGCCAGCGGTAGCCGAGATGCTGCCAGGTTTGTTTCCTGCCCGCAGCCCTGCAAGCGCTCCTCGCATCGGCTCCCGTTGTACTCTGGACCTCTCCCAAAACTCTTCTGCCTCACTAATGTGTAATTCCCGCAAGCCAGTTCTCTCCAAGATAAAAGTGGGTTGCTAGAAAAGGAAGAAGGCTGGCACTCAGTATGAAATTTTTCTGTCATGTTTCAGTGAATAAAACAGGAAGTTGGAGATCCCTCTGTTCTTAATGGAATTGGAGAGAAAAATACTACAGTGAGAACTGAAGCAGAGTTTTCTTATTTTTTCTCCTCGCCGTGTCTTCAGTTGTTAAAGCAATTACTTGGATTTCCTTAGTGTTTAACCGGTATCAAACGCTGTTCTTCCGAGATAATAGTTTTCTCTCCTCTTTGTGATTCCTTCACCTATATCCTTTTCCCAAGTAGCCCTGAGTGGTGGGACTATAAAATGCAGTCAGAAACCTCTCCACCATGGGAATGAGAAATTTACAATGCACCTTCAGAAAATCAGATGATAGTGAACTGATTTTTCTGGACATATTATCTAAAAAACCAGCCAAACGAGATGACTCTGAATAAGGCCCCTCTGGAATTGTTTTTAAGCGTTGAAACAAAACTGGGCTGTGCGTTTTGGGTTTGGACACTGGGCTTCTGTTGTGGATTTACCTACCATACACCTGAAGGGGAAAAAGGTGGATACTTGTAGATGTTTTGAAAGTTAAAAAAAAAAAAAAAAAAAATTCAAGTTCTAAGACTGCAAAAAATGTCAGTTATTTTAAGCATGGCAACAGTTTAGTTGATAAACTGTATTTAAAATGAGCAAAAATGCCTGATTCCAGGAACTTCGTGGGATGTCATAGAATGCAGTAAAAATGTCTAAAATCTGACCCTAAAGTCATCCTTAGGATTTGAATCGTAATTTTTGGAAAAATAAAATACAATTCCGTATCTGCTGGCTTCATCAATGAAAGCTTTGGTTTTGCACTGCTAATAACCAGAAATTTAGCCTTCATTAGAAGTGGGGCTTCCTTTTGATGTGTGTGTGGATAAACGATGCCTGCTAAACACCAAAGAAGTTCACCAACGTAGAGGTTGGGGTAACTTTACGTGAGCAGGAATTCAGCCATGCTGCACTGAAGGTGGTTTTGTGTTCAGCTGAAAGCAGTGATTCACTGAGCAGAGGGAGGCTTCATGTTCTTGGTAGTACTGCCGTGGGCACAAAAACAGGAATTGTACTCATGATCGCTTCTTGAACGTTAGGAAGGGTTATATGGGAAATACATGGGGCCCTTGGTAGCTGTTCAGGATGAACTTTTACCATGCTTACCTATAGTCATAGGTCAGGTGGACTTTCTGAAATTCTCTAGTTTAGTTTTGTATACTTCTTTTTTTTTTTCCTTAAAATCATGGATGCCTTATTTATCCTATGGAAGGATGTACTACAGCTGGAAATTCAATGCTTTTGCTTTTGTTTTGTTTTTTAGATGGCAACATTTTACCTGTAAAGGGGGAGTGTAGGTGTAAGCAAAAACTGGGAGGCTGAGTGTTTTATTTTCAAGGTGGATTAAGTGGTTAATCCTCAATGAATGAATTTATGCTAACTTTGTTCTCTTTTCAAGTGGCTTTAGGATATGCATCTCTGATCTGAGAAATGCACTGGGAGTTTTCAAAGGAGAGGGTGTTGTGCATTCATGTGTGGGTTAAACATTGCAAAGCCACGTAGCTTATGGATCTCCTCCAGTTGATGGTTTTCTAAACTGTTTTGGAGGAAGTGAGTCTATCTATCCCCCAACAAAATAGGCTTTTAGTGTCTTAAACTCAAAGTTGTGCCAGTTCCATGGTATGGACAGGGAGCTCTGATTTAGGGCTGGAGCTTGTGGCCTCTGTGCCACCTGCCTGCCTGGCTGCTGAGGCAGGAGGTGTTTTTTGTCATGGAAGTGGCAGCACCTGTGTAACTAATGGGATATTTGAAATGTGAACACTCGGTTAGTAAGTCATTTAAAATGTCTCGTCTACTCCATCTGCGTTGGTTGGTCTGTCTTTTCCTTGAGGCTATAGAAATCCTATCCTATTAAGGAATATGAAGTTTTCCTGTTTTTAACTTGAAAATCACTGTGAAGTAACGTTTATGACTTGTTGTCCCAGTATATACTGATAGCATTCTCTATATGGGGCACCTTTCAAATAAAGGAAAAAAAAATACAGTTGCTTGAAAGAGTTTGCATCTAAAGACAGAGGAGGGTCAGAGAAGATGAAACATCTTCTATGCAGTGTATTTTTTTGGGAGGGATGGGGAGGATTTAAGCTTAATATTATGAAGAAATGCTCTGAATCGTGAGAGGATGTCACAATTTCCTTTGCACAGCAACCAGTCCTTTTTCATCAGAGTCCATCCTGTGCTCTGAACGAGTCAGAAGTCCTGTTGGCAAGGAAAAAGAAGTTAGAGGATTAAATATCAGTGTGGTACGTAGCTTTAATCAGGAACTTTATATATCCATGGTATAACAGTACCCCGTGCTAGCTTTCAGAGTTAGGGAAGGTACTAACTGGAAAGGGCTAAAAGTATTTGTTAATTTCTCACTTCTTTTTCCCAAATGAATCTCTGGTTACAGTAGCGTAAGCGTTATTGTATAACTTCAAGACCACAGTGTCTTACTGATGTGACCAAACATTTCAGTGTACAGATACTTAGCAGTTAGGTATTCTTAAATCTGCCGGTGCTGTTTGCAAACACATTTAACCATCATGTGTAGTTCTTCTGAAATCCTCAGGGGCTACCAAGCCTTGAACGCAGGAGTTTTGTGCTTTAACTTCTCTCTGTATTCTCAGGTTTCAAACAGATTAAAGTTGATTTGCAGAATATGATTGTTTTGGTAATAGCAGTGTATTTTCTCTTACATGCGTCGTCTAGAAATGTTGAAAAGGTTAAAAGCCTTTATTTTAATCTTTTTATTACTTCAAGTGTGTGTATAGGTGCGTATCAGAATTTGTTTGGCTACAAGTGAAGCATTTTCTGGAAATCATACTGGAGTGTAAAAATAGAGAGCCATCGTGTAGGAAAAGGAGTTAGGAAATTAATGCATCTTTCTTGTATTAGACTACAAACTCAGGGTAATTCAGGTTGGAAGGGATCTTGGGGGTTACCTGGTTCTACCCTGTAGATCAGAGCAGGGCCAGGCTTGTAGGTATCTCAGATTGCTGAGGGTCATGTGCAATCAAGTCTTGAAAATCTGGTTGACTTACTTAAAAATGTGACTTGCTACTTTTTATTAAGATATTTGGACCAGTTGGGTGCAGGTTTTTAATTAAAGTAACAGCTAAAAACCCCTCTTCTTTATTAATACGTGTGATTGCGAGTGGTTTAATTTTAATTCTCTAGTGTGTTTTGTAGTGAGAGTTAAGAGATGGTGCAAGCTTGTGTATGTCGTCTTGCTGAGAATGAGAAACAATCTAATTTGCTCAGTAGAAGCAGATTCTATCTGGTACCTTTTCCATTAATGCTCTTCTGGGTTGGCTTCCAGTAGCTGCAGATAGACTTGTTGAGAACCGAGGCTATACAGATTTAGTTGGTCACAAACTGTTTTCTGGCAAGTTTTTGATTTGGGGTTTTGAATTGTCATGCTCCACTGATTCATTAGGGCTTTGTGAAGCACAGCTGAATTCTACTTTTGAAATAAGCCATTGGACTGACAGGTCCTTCATTTCAAAGCACTGACTGCTATTAAGAACGCGCAAGCTGCGCTGACACCTCTGGTATTGCTACGTAGGCTCTCTATTGCCAAGTGGAAGTCTGTTAGCTATGGAAGCTCTGTCCCCTGAGGGCTGGAATCTCTTTGTGCAATAGCCATCAGCTGTATTGAGTTAGAGCCTTCCTGAGCCGTGTGGCAAACTTAAGGATACATGAATGTATTTATTAAGAGGAAATTAAAGGTTATGCTCAGTGCTTACTACTGCTAAAGAAAGTTGCGCCTTCAGGGTAGATAATGATGCCCTGTAGAGATCATCTGTCTTGACCATGGTTTCATCTCTACTTGCTATCCCTTTTGACTAGACAAAAGTGGCATTATCACTACATCTGCTGCCTTAAAAATTACTAAATTAATTATCTGAGGATTGTTTGTATCAGACAGGCAAACGTGAGAAATTTGGGGGGGTTGTCTGATTAATTTGCCTTTTTTCTTGTTCTTCCTTTTAAGAAGAAAATAGTTTAACTAGCATGGATGATAGAGTTTTTCAATTTAGGACTTCTAGGAATTCAGCTACCATGCAGAGAAAGAGATATTTATGTTATTGATGACCTAGGATCAAAACCAAAGAAGGTAACATCCTACCTCACAACTGAGAAGCAATTGTCTCTGTGTGGGAGGTGATAGAAATTGAACCACTTAACAGGTTATTGTAAGGGCTAGCGCATAGGATGCTATAAAAATATGAAGAGCAATGGGAAGTGTGAGCCTGTTCAAGACGCTTGGAGTTAGCAGCAGGCATATGTGCTCTTCATTTCTCTGTCTCTCTGTTTAGGAAGACTCTCCTGTATCAGCATAAGTTTTTATACAGCTCCCATTAGTGCACTGCTTATGAGGAAACTCACTTTTGATTTGCTGCAGATGTTTACTGAGAAACCCATGCAAACTGAAAATTCAGAATGACATTATTCAACAGATACTTTATTCTTTAAGCTAAACTTCTCTGCTAAATGAAGCAGAGGTGCCAGGAAAAACTCAGTACTTGCACGAAGGCAGAATTAGAAGGTTTTGTATTTTCAGAGCATGGGCTGTGGCTGTTCCTTTTTGCGTGGTTGGGGCTTCAACCCAGCACTGTGGAGATGTGTGCGGATGGAAACCTTGCTGTAAAGGTCTTGCTGACTGTGGAGTCAGAGCTTAAAATAGACTGATATTCTAGTATTTTACTAGAAAACTGGAGTATTTTGGAAGGCTTTTTTTTTAGCATCAGGCAAAGAAATTGAGTAAATGAGGTATAGTTTATATCTTAACTGTCTTTTTAAGACTCTAACTCAAGTTTTTATGATTCATATGAAGATGATTTAAGTAGTACCCAACCTTTCTGTGCTGCTAAGTGTTCTCATCCACAGGCCGTGTATCGGGTAGTGCGTCTTCACAGCCTCTGCAGTTCATGACCCAGCACGTTAGCTTGAACTGCCGTTGATTTTGGTTTACACTCGTGCTCTGGGTGTTGAGCTCTGGTGGCTGTGCTGTCTCACCACCTGGTTTGCCCTATTTGTGCTGCTGGAACCTCGAGCAGGAGGTGGGCACGTGCCTAACGTGGGTGACCTTATCGCAGTGAGCTGTGACAGCTGGCAGGGCTTGTGGCTCGGATCTTCCAGTGATGGAGAAGAGTTGTTTCCCTCAGGGGAGGCAAACAGACCTTGCACAGGACTAGGAAAGCTTGTACCTGTAATCTCTAATTTCCCTGATGATAGCGATCAGTCATATTCTAATCCTTATTAGAACCAGAGGTCTCCTTGGCTTTCCCCACTACGGAAAAGAAATTGTCTTTTCGAGAGTTACTTTTATACTTATTTTCTGCATCAATAAAAACAAACAGAAAAACCCCGAAGACCCCAGATTTTCCAAATCTTTGAATTTGCTTTTTCAGTTTCAGACTGAGGTTTACATGTTGGTCATATCTTTTTTTTTTTTTTTTTTTTTTTTTTTTTTTTCCTCTTTTGTAGGAGGGGGTAGAAGGCTGAAGGGAATAACTTCCTCAACACTGGTAAGTACTTCTTTCCTGAGCTGGGATGGTTTACCAAAGAATAGCTGATATGAAGAGCTGGCATCCATTCCTGGAAAAGTTTGATGCTTACTGAAACTGAAATCCTATCTGTTCTTATATTCAGAAATTAAATCTTAAGAAGTAAATGTTACTGATGGAAGTCTCAGTCCTATAAATAAATTCACTGCAGGGCTGAGATTTGGACGTGAGAGTCTCTAAGTACAATAGACATTTAACTTTAGCTATCCAAAAATATTTTTTTTTCTGTGTAATATGAAAAATAAGATTATCTGAAGGGATTTTGAGTGGAGAAAGACTTTTGCTTAAAATCTTAAATTATTCAGCATCCCTCCATTTGCAGATCAGTAATTAATAGCTTTTGTGTGTGTTTTTTATATTTTTACTTGTGCGCATGTATATATAAGTCACATAAACTGTGTCTTCGTTGTACTTTCCAAAGTAGCCATAGTTTAAGTATCTTGATATTTTAAGGAATTGCAGTGGATTGTATTTTTTTTTTAATTGAGATAATAATAGAGAATTGCTGGTACACTTTACATGACTCTGATTCATTCAGTTTCTGAATGTTTTTGTATAAACATGCAACCTCCACGCTGCTCTAACTGAGGTGAATTGTGGCACTTTATCTGTATGAAATTGAGGCGATCACATCAGAAATACGGGATTATTTATGACAAATGCATGCCAGCAAGAAACTGACTGGAGGACTGCTGTCTCCAAAGTTGAAATTAATCCAAGGAGCGTCAAATTTATGTCTTGCTGTCAGTGTTCTTCCTGGTTGTGACTTGAAAGTATGTCTGGACGTGTAAGAGATGCAAGTGCTCCTCAGTCCTCTGTTTTTCCCTCTGGAAGTCCCTGTTTCTAGCACTAGCGAAGCATTTGCATGTTTTAGGAATGAATGGGATGAAGGCTGTTTGCAGACCAACCAGTCCATGCAATTTCAATCACCGACAAGAATTTTAATTAAAATAATAATTTTGCCATTAGAAGAGTAAAGTGGAAAATGGAATACGTTTTATGATTAATCCAGGGATAGTTTTATACTTTCTGAAAGGTGATTGTAGGTAGTTCATAATGCCACTGGTCATGAGCTATTACGTCTCCCCTGGAAGCTGAGTCTGAAGGAATAAAAGCTCAAGGATACTGAGGATTTTTGCACTTAGAAATGTGTGATCACTTGTCTAGGTAGTTCTGCATCTACTTTTGGAAGAAATACAGGTAGTAGTTGGCCAGGTGCCCTCTAGATGTTATTCTACATAAAACAGAAAAAAAGTAATTGAGGATTTGTCAGGTATAAAGAACGATCACTATTTTTTTTCTTTAATTAACACTGACGAAGTGTTTAGGTGCTTCAGGGGCATTTCAGCCAGGGGTAACTTGGTTGTTAGAGGAAGGCTACAAGAGTGTGTTCTAAGTGCTTTATACAACCACATACACTTCATTTTTATAAATTGGCAACTTGACCAGATTTTAAAAGTGATCATCTTATATCTTATTTAAAGTGTTCTCCACGCTCCCTCCCACCTGTAATGGTTTGGATGCTCAGGATGCTTTAGAACCTCCTAATAAATTCTTTATTACCCTTTGCTTTTTCCTCGTATTTAAAGTGATGGTGATGTGTGCCTCAGCTTGGATGCCATGCCAAATATGTGGTATCTTATCTGTGATTTAACACAGTTCCAGTAACTGCCAATCCTGGGCCTTTTTTACAAAAGAGGACAGTGGTGCTGCTGGTGACGTCTGCAGCAGCTGGCAGAGAAGGTGATGGCACAAGACCATTCCTTATGTGCAGCCTTTGCTGATGGAGCACTTAGTTTCTCCTCCTTCCATATGGAGCACCTGGTTTTTGAAGAGAGAAGGTTGTTCCCTATGCTTAATATGTCCTTCTGTGCAACCTTGCCTGCAGAAGGTAACTGGAAGTAAATGATACTGCAAAACGACTTGCTCTGAGGCTGTCGTGAGAGCACTGGAGGAGAGGAGTCATAGAATGGTTTGTGTCGGAAGGGATCTTTGAGATCACGTAGTTCCAACCCCCTGCTATGGGCAAGGACACCTCCCACTGGGCCAGGTTGCTCAGAGCCCCATCCAACCTGGCCTTGAACGCCTCCAGGGAGGGAACATCCACAGCTTCTCTGGGAAGTAGACAGAGAGCCAACAGTTTTTTTTAAAAAAAAACAACACCAAAAACTTGAATTAGGAAAAAAAAGTCATGTATCTATTTTTTTCTCTTGCCTTTTTTTAGATACTTCAATCATATTTATTGGAGTTCCACAGATATTTTTTTGTAGCATGACAAGTATTTCCAGTTTATATACACTTAAAAAATTTTGTGGCTAAGGAATCTTAAAATCTGTTAACTTCCAACGTGAAAATAAAAGAAAAATCTGAAATTGTAACAAAAAAAATTGGGATGGAGCTAGTCAGCAATGGATGTTTTACTGGCATTGCTTTGGTTTTTGATCATCCCTCAGTACTGCAGTGAATTACACCTTCTCCTGGCTTCAGCTGTGTAAACATGGATAGGCTGAACAGCCTCCTGCTTCTGCAAAGCACTGCTGCTTTTTGCTCAAACTTAAAAATTAGTTGTGAGAAATCTTTCCAGCTGATGAAGGTGTCTTTGAAATGAAGTTTCATTATTTTTTATGAATCAGTGGTATTTGCTCAGGCTTTGTGTGTTGTGGAGGAAGTACTGTGTAGTACTGGGCTATACAAGTGTGTGCTAAAATAATGTACAATTCTGATGTTCTCTGAGATGGCTTTTTTCTGTTTTGCATTTTGCTTTAAAGTTAGCATGTAGCTGTAGAATGATACTCTCTGTTTATTACGAGTGCTGTCTCGTGCATGGCAGACACACTGAGAGAGACTTTGTTCATGCCTGCCTGAATCTTTACCTCAAAATGGAATTTCCAGGGCTTATGAAATACTTTTTGCCTCAGCAGTGGGCTCCAGCTTTCATTAGTCTCTCTCCCACGTGGTTTTCTGAAGCATGGCTTCTTTTGAAACTGCAGTGGTGGGGACTTAATGCGTGCTGTAGTTCTTGCCTGTGACTGGAGGTACTAATCCAGGATTCTGTTTTCTCATTAAGGTCTGTGGTAATAGAACAGGGAACTATATGTAGTTTGCATGTATCCCTTGGTACAAATTACAATTTTATGGAGAGTGGTGCTGCAAAGGCAGCTGTTCCAGCTCTTCTGGGCCACATGTAGGAGAGACCCTTGCAGAAGGTCATTCCGAGTGTTGTCTAGAAAGTCTGATCAGGCCTTTGTTATTTAAATAAGTAAATTTCAGGTACCAGCAAATGGTGTGGAAAAAGAATGAGTTGGAATACCATGCTTTTATAAAACCCTTGATAGTCTTCTCCCTTAATAATGTGGTGCTGTTTGCGAAGAGAAACAAACCTGGCTTAAAAACCAGCCAAACAGGAAAAAACCTCCAACTTTATTTTCAGGAACTCGAACTCTCCCGACACTTCAGTGTTCTGTGTGCATGGGCAACATCAAAAGAAAATTCTTAACTTAAAGAATTGCTGTCCCTTCATTGTCTAAGTACCTAATCTAAGTTGTCAGTAGATTTTTGACAGTTTCAAGTCCCATTATGAAGATCTGAGCTGACAATACCTGTGTGTTAATTGTGAACAGTTCTCCAAAGATAAAAATGTAGAACTACTTTAACACTCCAACAGTTCTTTCATGTGTGATGTCTGGTTGGAAAGATTGCTATGTAATATTTTGTGATACGTTCTATGCTTATGTGTATAAATAAATCTCAACGCAGGCATTTTTAGTCCAGTTTTTAGGCAAGTTTCATTGCGTTTTGAGAGCATGTTGAATAAAGATGGGGATCTTGATCCTGCTTCAGAATCTGATACTTTAAACGTATTTCTGGACAAAAATCTCCTGTCCAGCTTTGAAGGCTTTTAGAAATACCGATTATAGCATTCTTCCCTCTCAGAGGTTGGGGGACTCATTCTTTTTTTTGAAGTACAAATAAAGATACTAAACTTTTATTTACTAGAATTCCATCTAGAAACAGCAGAGGATTTAATACTTAATGTTTTTCAATGTATTGTGTTTTATATCTTCTATTCCTTCAAAACAGAAGGTGACTAACTCGGACAAACTTTAGGCACTGCCTTATTAATGTGTTATGTTGTTGTGTCAGATAGCATGCAGACCCTCCCATCTACGCAGCTCTAAAGTATGGTGGAAGCATGTTAATGCTGTACGTAGTTTAACAATTTATTGTCATTTGGGTTGCAAAGTTATTGTCTTAAGAATATTTTTTTGTCTGTGCAGATCTTTTATTTACTTTTGAAACATTCTTAGTAGTTTTCTAATTTAATATGTAACTGCAATGAAATATTGGAAGGAAATAGTTTCCTGCAAAATGAGATAAAGGACGAGGATGTCAACTTTTGGAGTATGTGAGAAGCGGTGCATTTGGCTAAACTACACTAAGGAAGGCAGCTCTTAGTTAAATTTCTTGTGTTTGGAAGATTCCACGTGTTTAGGGTAGGAAGCTGTAGTTTAATACAGTTCACAGCATTCCTGTTCTGTTGTTTTGTTTTTTTTTTTCCCCCCCATTTTTCAAGCTAACTTCTGTCTTTTCCTACCTAAAGCAAAACTTTTTTTATTTTTTTTATAGCACTGGTGAGGAGAGGAAACCAGGAACTAAAGGCACTGGAATCAGCAGACATATCTAGAGAAAGTGGAGAAGGTAGAGAATGGAGCTGCAGACTCTACAGGAGGCTCTGAAAGTGGAAATTCAGGTTCACCAGGTATTTTGTATTCTTTCTTGCTTTATATTTTTAAGCAATAGCAACATCAGTATCTGTGATAACACTACAACTAATGGCATGAATAGGTAATGCCATTACAACTATAGGTTGTTATAGTGATATAGTAATATATCTGATATATACTAATATATTAATTACGTAACTATTATGTAATAATATAGTAAGATAGTTTCTGGTTTTTGACCCCACCACCCATTGTTTTTGGCAAATGTAGAAAAAATCCACATATCAGGCTGTGGGTGGGGATTTTTTTTTTATATACTTTAGCAGTGATTTAAAAAAAAACTTTCAGAAAACTGTGTTCAGTAACTTCTGTCTGGAAGGATTTTCTGATATTCTAAATCCAATTTCAATATTAAGTTGGGAATGGAAAATTATGGTGAAGGAACTTTTCAAGCAAATGTAAGAAGGCATGAGCATATTAAATAATTCAAAAATTACTGAAGCAGAACCTATAAACCCAGGGTGGCTGCCATCTAGTAACATTAGATTTAATGTTTTCTAAAGACAGTTCTGCAAGTATTTCTCAGGTATGTCTTTCAGACCCGTGAAACTCACAGTGTTACACAACGCATAAAATAAACTTATGGTTGTATGAATTTTGGAAAATATTTCCAAGTTATCTAGAACACTTGTTTGGACAAGTCATCAGATGACTTGTTCAGTAATTGTTGCAATGATGAGCATAGTGCAAGAAAACTTGAGTGGGTGGATGAGTTAGTTAAATGATGTTATGTCGGCTTTAATGAAGATAAAACTTTCAGCTGAGGAGAAGAGTGTTCAAAAACAACAATAGGTTAACTTCCAGAACTAAAGGCAAGTGTTTTGCTCTCCTCAAACTCCAAGGCCTTTGCCTTCAGAACTTCAAACAGCCTTTTATGGAGGTAATAGAATTCAGAAATTACACATGGCATTGATTCAGGCATTAAAATAGTAAAGGCCAATAACTAACTTTTTCCAAATGTTGTCTGCTGTATGGTGAGCAGACTGGTAATCACACTTGTGTTTGTATAACAGCATTTACCTCTCGTGTGTTATCTTTATTTCTCTTTATTCCTAAACTAACAAAAAAACCCCACAGAATTTTAATAAGCTTTCACATCTGTTTGTAGTAACGATGAAGAAAAGGAATGAAGGTCAGAAAAAATTGAAGACTACTTTTTTTTTCTTTTAATGACATAAAGGATATTTTGGTCTCACTTGCTTTTGCTTTGCCCAGCCATCATGAAAAGTGAGGTCTGCACTTAAATCAAATTTAATTAAGTTTTCTTTCAGTGGGTGAGACTGCAAGCCGTTATATCAGAAGATTGTTTACTTCTTAAAGACTGTGTAGATTCCAGTTACTAAGGTTAAACAAGTCTAAGCATTTACAGTGGGAAATAACGCTTACAGCAACATGTTGGGTGCCTCGTAAAGTCATCTTGAACTAGAGCTGCTCTGCTGCTCAAATGGCCATCAACAGAAACGTAAACTCTTTTGGCACGAACAAAAAAAAAATCTCAAAATGAAAAGTTTTAATGTATTGTATACATTTCAATTCTTCAATTTAAAAATACAATATATCCTTTCTTTTGGCAGTACTGCAGATGTTCTGTAGAGTTGTCTCGCTTGTCGTCTTTTACTTACTTAATTTTTGTTCCAAGGACGCTTTAAAAGCTTGCCAAGAGAAACGCAGTCACATTTTGTCCTCCTCTTGTACGTGGCGGACAGGTGTCTGTGATGGAGCTCAGCTCTTCACTGTGTGAACAAAGCCTCCCAGCTTTTTCTCCCTGATGCAGCATGTCACTTGTCATGACTGCTTACATAGCTGTAGAAAGTGATGCTCGGTGTGACTGCATTTTTGTTAGTAGAATTGCTCCTTATTTCCTGCCTATTCCAGTTCACCTTCAGAACTCTGAAGCTTTGATGCTCCCTATTTGACAGAGTGCATCTTAAAATACCGAATTAGGTGTTTAGTTCTTTAGGAGAAGGTACTTTTAGTTTCATTTTGATCTTTAAGGGAAGTCTGTCCAGGTCACTTGCTATGTCAGAGTACAACTTGAATATTAAAACGCCTTCATGACCGGCTGTGTTACTTGTCCTGAGAAGAGACCCATTAACTCTAAGTAGTTCATTCTGCTACTTTGTTGACTTAATTAAGATTATTTTGAAACAGTCTGCTCTTCATAGTTTTGATCACAAGAGGTGTTAGAGGAGCTGTATTTCGCTATTCTCACAGAAGGGATGGGCTTTGTGGATGGGTCTTCGAGCAGATGAGTAGAAAGAAACCAAGCTATCCTTTCCCTTTTCATTTCTTAGCAAAAAGATTTGTGTGTTTTTAAAATACCTTCATTTTAACATACATTTTTCTTGTGACTGGGATAATGCAGTACTACATGTTCCTCGAATATGTTAAAACAGTTTACAGCCACTAAGTGTAATGTCTTGATTGAGACTGTACAGTAACTTTGTATGTGTAAAAACTAACAGATTTGTTTGTCAAGCTCTAACGTGGAACGCACTGAGGAAAACTGAGTTAAGCATGTAAGCACAAGGCTAGTGTAGCACCTCAACTTCCCATAACATTGAATGATGAAAAAATGGTACTGAGTGTAGATAAATGCCAAAGTGGTGCACCTTGGAAGAGCCATCCGTCTTACATCACTGAATTAGCTATTAGCACTGAGCAGGCATTTCCTGCAATACAGAGTACTTGTATGTTGTATGCAGTTCTAATCCCATTGTTTGCAAGTGATGGAGAAGAACGAGAGAAGTACAGGGAACGGTGCTAAGAAGGAGCGAAGCATGGCATGGTTAGGGCATAGGGAGGCTCTCAATCTGAAATATGAAAGGTGTCAATAGATGTAGTATGAAAATGAGTAGACAAACAGCAAGAATGGCTTTCCATAATTTCAGTTACCTTCATGCATGCATTAACAGGAAGCATGTTCAAAGGAAGGAGGTCCTTTTACATAAGAATATTCTCATTTAACTTTGGAACATATTGTTACAGAATTTGGAGTGTTTTCTTTAATTCAAAAAGTAATGAGAGCAGATTAATGGAAAAAAAGTTTGTTACTAGCTGTTGAGCTTAAGATACCATCTTTCACTGAAGTCATCCAAGCTGTAAATTTCTGAGAGATGGGAGATAACACTATGATTGTGCAGTCCTCCAACTGACGGCCATGTTTGCTGTTGGCTAGGAAAAGATATTAGGGCAGAAAGACCAGTGGTCTAACCCAGATTTGTGTGTCACGCTTTTTGTGATTAGTATCACATCCAGGGTGTGAAATGGAATACACTTCAAAAAAATTCATTGGCCAAATCTGAGTCGTCTGAGTAATATTAATGCAGGTGGGAATAAACATTTTTCTTGTTTGCTTTCTCTTCCTCACTTCTTTTCCTGGTGCTGGTGCACTACATATTTTCACGTTCTAGGAACAATGTAATGTGATAAAACGTAGCTGTAACTAAGGAAGAGATTTGGGTTGGGAGCAGTGGTGAGGGTGGTTTGTTGCCTGTTCATTTGGGGCTCTAGATGTCTTCAGTGACAGCCTGATAACTTCCCTGCTTATCAACAGACAACATCCTCCTGCAGCTGCTTGAAGGAAGCGAAGGAGAAAGAATAGTGAATGGTAACCATCTATCCACTTTCCCTTGAATGCAGAGGGCATCTTTTCTGCAGTGATATCAATCTCTCTGACTGAGAGAGAAAAGTGGCAAAGATACTTCTGAACATGGATCTTCCATGTGGTACCAGCCAAGCCAACACACAGGGAGTCCTTTGGTGTTTGAAATGTTCTATGTCTGAGTCCACAAACAGCTTTTGTGTTTGCAGTGATTCTTTGTGATTTGTGTTTCTTGTGAATGCAAGCAAAGGCTGCTGCAGTTCTAGAGAAGTCCTGGCTGTAAGATCAGTTTCTTCAGCTGGCTTAAATTGTCCTACAAAGGTATCACTTATTCAAGAACAGTTTTGGAGGAGAAGTGGTGACTTAATGTGATAATTTTACTGTGTTAACAAGAATAGGTTTAGAAATCATTAATTTTAGATTCCTTATGGATTAAGTCTAGCAATTGCAAATTATGGAATGTGTATTTTGGTGTATTTCTTATAAAGATTCTCCAAAAATGTTGGTTTTGCACTGCTCAATGGGATCCTTCATAAGTCTTTATTTTATCATTGCATCTCTTTCTTTCTAGAAACTGGTTGCCCAAATGAAGCAAGATCCACAGGTAACTATCTATTTTGTATTGTTTTGTGTATCTCTAAGAAGAGAGAGAATAACTGCACCAAGTTTGAGAATTTCAGATATTTCATCATGTTCTTCCATGTTAGCACAATTTTTTAGAAGAAAACAATTAAGAACAAATCTTTAAAGAAATGACTGCATTGTTCTTTTAAGATACATGCCAACAAAGAAAAATCCACCAACTCTTTTTGGAGCCTTTTGCTTCTTTCTTAGTATTTTAAATCATGGGACCATTGCAGGCAATAATGCAACTCAAGTATTACGTCTCTGGTTCTTCTGGAAATGTCTCTTTGCCAAATCTGCAATTTCTAGATGTAGTGTTTTTCTTGTCTGAATTATTATACAAGCCAAAAGAGGATCCTCCTTCCAAGAAACTTTGTCTGAATGAAGAACATTGCTTAAGACTTCATTCAGTTCGCCTGTCTTAATTATCCGGCTTCGGCACTGTAATATTTGAAGCGTGGCCACTTGGTCTGTGGTGTTTCAGAGCTACCAAAGCCTGGGTAATTAGGATCTTTGTGTAGATGGCAAAAACTTCTTCTTTCCCAGTGGCTATGTAAAGAGACTCAGTTTATCCTGCAATTGAGCACTCATGTTTGCTGAATGGGGAGTTACTTCAGGCTTGCTAGTAAGAGCATCCATCCCCATAGAAAAATTGTATTGGAAAATCCACTTGCTAAAAGTTTGCTGCTCCTCCTTTCTAGACAAGTCTGCTGGTGATTACAGCATAGTTGGTTTTCTGCTCATGTGTGGTGAGAGAGATGTCAGGGCAGCAAACAGCCGTGCAAAGTTCATGGAATCATTAAGAGTAAATTTGGTCACTGTTTCAGAATTCTTAATAATATTCTGGGATAAAAATGTATAAAGTAGAATCTAGGGAAAAGGGAGAATGATTAGTCAGTATCTGGTTTCACTGAGGCTGTGTTTATATTAGATAAAGCTATCTACAAATAACTGAGTTGGGATTTTAATGCATTTCAGATTTGTAGATGGATATAAGAACAGAGAAGTTTTCTTGAGCGTGAAGTTTCTGTAACAATATTAGTCTTAGGTTTTAGTGTTGTGTTGTACAGCAAACCTGCGTAATCCAGCGTAAAGAGTATACAACATAAATTAGGGAAAAGAAAATGAAATTGCAGGGAGGTTTGCTTCCTTGTCACACTTCTTCAGAGCTTCACAGTCTTTAAACTGAGTGCATTATTGTTTGGGTTCTTTTAAATTATTTCTAGTAGAAAAGAAACAGTCCTGGTAAAAATTGTTTTCTTACTGCGTCTTTATAGTGGTGTTTATTGCTTTCAAATCTTAAAGTGCTATTGTAAGCAAAGTGCTGATATGAATGATGTGCTAAGGCAGATGTAATTCTCTTAAATATAGTCTAAGGCACACAAACATTTGGAAATGAATACTTAGGTATGTTGGCCTTCATTTGGCATGTGTGGCAGTTAAGATTTAATAGATACGGTTACTGGTGTTCAACGTAATCAAATGTATGTCTTTGCATAAATAGCACAGATGAGCACATGCTTTAGGTGAAGTACCATTGCATGCAATATGATACTGTCGTATTATATATTGACAAACATTTCTTGTTTAATTTGTAAACTTGATGGAATGTGAAAATGTGCTTTACGTTGTGGTGAGCACTAATGGATGTTTTAATGAAATCTGAGTTCCGGACTCTCGTTGAGTGCTACAAAAGTCTTCTGATGGTTTTTTTGCACTCAGTAACTTAAGCAAGGCTTTGTTGAGCCTCTTGATTTTAATTGGCTGTACATCCAGAGGTGCTGCATTTGTAGTATAATATGAAAAAAAAAAGCCTTCCTGCTACTACTCTATGTTAACAAATGGAATATCTTTCTCACAGATATTTTTTCTTTCTAATCAGAATGCTGATTTGAAGAAACAGCTTCATGAACTTCAAGCCAAAATCACAGCTCTGAGTGAGAAACAGGTAGGGAGATGTACTTTTAACACCTTTTTCTAAAGATGCATCTTCTCCCAGCTTCTGAGATAACTGCTAAAGTTATTGAAGTACAAAAAGTGTGGGCAAACGTGCTTTGGATTGTGTTTGATTCCTCTCAGTGAAAGACAAGATGAATATTACAAGTCCATCGAGAAAGCAATTAGTTTAATCGATGGAAGCTATGAATTTTTTAGCATTGAAACTAATGTTTTTTTATTAAGGGAGATGGAAAAATGAAATAATTTTGTCATTTATTATACAGTTATTTTAAAACTTTAACAAAACCAAAACATCCTGCTTCAGGCAAATCTTCAGATTCTGTTTTCATTGGACTAGTCTATGCACTTATAAATGAGTATTCTGGAGTATTTCCTTGTGTCGAGACCAAGTAAATGTGTGTCAGTTATAGATACCTAATAGACAAATTGGAGCTGTGTTGCTTGCTTTTATCATGATAAATTGCACCACAGTTGTCTTATATTTGACATTTATTAGTTCTCTACAGGTTTTATGTATTAGTAATAATTACAACTGTATGCTTTATAACAACACTTTAGAACTGGAAGATGCATCTTGTGGGTAACTAGAAGAAAAGTGAATAACACTGAGACATCTGGAAATTTGTTCTCATTTGTGTTATAACAACAGAAAAGCATTCAGATACAGAAATCCCCCCACAATTAAACTGACTTAGCAGTCCCTGACTCTTATTGCTATTGTGTGAGTAACTGAACTGAATTAGGTTGGCTGCTGGGGTCAACAGCTTACACCTTTTGAAGATGGGAGGCATTTTAAAATGTGTGCATAGGAAAAAAACAACCCAAACATTTAGTTATGTGTCAGTGTCCCACCTAGATACCTATGTACATCTGTTGTTATCTGTTCTGCTTGAAGAATCGCTGTTTTTTATTCTGCAATAACTGCCTTTCCTAAGGAAAGAAGTAGATAGTGATAAACATTTCTCTAGAAACTTTGTTTACTAAAAAATTATAGCATGTTTTGGTACTGGAACAATAAGTCTAGTAAAGAACATGTAAGGATAATAAAGAAAATGATTTTTTAATGAGAATTCTAATTCAACAAAAACTGAGGTTTTTGCTGTTGTGATGGCATGCCTCTCTTGAAGATGATTTATTCTCTAAAACCAGCATGAGCCTCTGCATACAGCTGTGTCTCACAGCAAGCAGCTTCAGAATTCTCTAGGAAGCTCTGGGGGCCCATGGTAATTTCAAAATTAGCTTGCCTTGATGCCACGAAGCAACTTAAATTGACTACCAGTTCACATGATCAGCAGTGAGATAGTGGAAGATAAGATGCATGTCCTATTGGAACTTTGAAACTTACATTATAAAATACACATTAGTATATTCAATGCTTTAAATTATTTACCTTCAAGACCACAGCTATATATAGCTTCATACAAAGCTGAAAGTTACAGCTCAGAGTGCTGAAGCACATTTGTTCATGGAGAATAACATGGGCCATGTTTCCAAAAGATTCTGAAAAACAGGTTTCTGATTTTACTTCCATCACTCAGAGACTGCAGGAAATATGAAGTCACACTTTGGTCTCAGTCTTTGCATTTTTGTGGCTTTGGCTATCCATAGAACAGTGACCTTCTCTGACTGTTGAGGTTTAGGTACTTTTTGTTATATCTACCACTAGTCTGCAGATCTGCCAGTGTCCCAAATAACTGAGTTATTAAAGTAGCATGGATGCTGAAAAGCAGTCATAGTGGTAAATAAGTTCTAGGAAGAGGTTGGGGGAAAAAAACACTCAGAACACTAAAAACAAACAAAATCAACCAACTAAACACAACTACTTCCTAATGGAGAGAAATGCTCACTTCCCATTAATTGTAGGAATCTGTTGTATGGATAGCTGTGGCTTGGCAATGCGAGTTAAAGTAGCACTGTAGAGACTGCAACAAAGCCTTTATTGCTGTTCTCACTTTCAGTTCTTGTTTTGGGAGAAACAATTATTATCAGTTGTTACATGGGGAGAATGTGATTCAATAATTTAATTTTCACAGGATGGGGAAATGTTTTGTGTAATAAATAATTTCTTTATATTGTCCCGTGCATTTCTTGAGGAAGATGGTAAAGTACAATGTGTGTTATCCGTAATGTTGTTCAGAGCCAAGTACTCTTGACATATAATATCCAATGAATAAACTCTGAACACTTGCGCTATGGACAGTTACAGGAGGCATAATTGTCACTGTTTGATCAGTTTCTAATGAAATGTGAAATATTAAAGCTCCAGCCAGTGTGATGTCCCTCCTCTGAGGCTATGGAGTGGAGCTGAGGCTGTGAGGTTATACACGTGGAATGCTGAAATATTTCTGGCTTGTGAAATGTTATGCCAACTTAACCCTTTCGCTTTGCACTTTCATGTAATGAAATTGTATGAATGAAAGACTTGCAGTGCAAGAAGCAAGTCAGTGGTAGTGGAGCTAAAAGCTTTCAGTCGCTTTAGGTTCCCCCTCAATTTCTGAAGCAGTGTGAGAGTAGTGCTGACATTAGTGCAGTCACTGTGGTGATTCATAGTGCCTTACGTTTCTGACTGAGAATTAATGATGAGAGTTCTGTTTAGAAGTTTGTGACATCAAAAAGTTCTGACAAAGTGGGGAAAGAAACCAAGTCCGCTATGTTGTGTGTAGGCTTAAGCCTAAATAAATCTATTACTCGATACAGGTTGAAACTGTTCCAGCACAAGGTATGGCAAGTACACGTATGGTTATTGAAAGTTTGGAGATGGTGGAAAGAAGTGCTTTGATTTATTTCATCTAGAAGGTGATGGAGCAATGTCTACTGATAGTGTTATCTTATGGAAGAAAAACTTCAAAAAGAAAAAAAGCTTTCTTGAATGTGATTTGCGTTTAGAGGGCAGTAAAAATGAATGATACAGACAATTATTTTCTCCTCCTAGTCTCTTCATGTTATTAACATGGCATTCTAAGCTGGGTTTTCCTAATCTTGGGGCAGAAAGGTGAATTCAGTTTAATAGTCTTGCCCTTCAGCTATTAACATCAGTGTTACAGTTGAGACTGCATTGCTTTTAAAACTGATTTCCTTCTTGCTGCTCTAACCTACCCTTACCCATCTCTTTTAATAAAGCAAAGTCAGGAGTAACTTCTTGCAAAAGTTGTAATTCCCAAATCTAAACTTGGGTTTTAAATTTGAATTAGTTCTACTGCTGTGTAGTTCTGTTCTTATTATGCTTTTTAAAACAATGTTATTTTCACATGTAAGAAAGTAGTAGAATCTTCAGTGCTCTTGCCTTTGTATTCTTGATTAGTGCCTTTCCTTGGCATTGTTTTGTAGGTGTTTACCTTGTAGGAAATTGCCTGTGCATCACTCAGCTTTTGTTTGTGTTGAACATATCCTTTACAGTAAAAACATAAATAATGTGTTCTTGAATTTTTCCAGGAGGAAATTTAGTAACATGTACTTCTTTTCCTTCCTTTTGGGAATTTGACATGGAATTACTGTCGACAGCATCAGTGAAAAATTGTTGTGAATCAGGACTGATGTAAGGTTACATCCCAATTCACCTGTTAAGTAGCACTTTTTTTCCTGCTGCTTTTCTTATTTTGTTAATTAAGAAATAAGATGCTTTTTCACATGTGGCATCACTTGGTGCATATCATTACAGTGCTTTTTTTTCCAGTGACATGAAAAAGGTCAGATTTATTTGAATGAGGAAATGTAAAGGGAGAAGAGGGCAGGAAACAAATGCTTGTTAACAGCATCGTGTCAAATATGGAGCAATTTGTACATCTGCTTATCATACTTTCTAAGAAAAGTTGTAGCAATGTTGTCTGAAGTGTGAAGGAAAGCTTACAGGAGTAGAATCTTTTGACCTTATGCCTGTCACCATCACCTTTTTTACTATATGCTAAAGGAGTTGCGCTCTCTTTTTGAAAATGAATTGGAAGTGTCTTGTTATAGTTAGTTGCAGTGCAGTTAATTTAATCTTCAAGAAAACAATCTTGTAAAAACCAGACTTGTATTCTAATGCATTTCCTCTGACGTGGAAAGAATACAGTATCATAGAATCACAGACACCTTTGTAAGTATATGCAGTTCTTTGAAATTGAAGTGATGTGGAGAAGTACTTTAAAATAGTTTTCAGCGTAGGGATACTTGTTTGTATTTTTTGGAGCAGGGTGCTGGGTGAAGTTTAACGTACTTTACTGAGTTGAAACTGTAGAATCTCACCAGGTAAAATGCACACTGGAAAACAAGATTCTCTCTCATTATAGATGTTATGCATGAATCCACTGACTTCTGCTTGTGTTTAAAGCTTAGAGCAAATTGAAGTAGTTTAGATTATTTTAAATCCCGTGTGTTCTGGGTAAGACTCCTTTTAACCTTGCTGCTAAATAGCAAGTGAAAGGAAAGGAGGTTTTGGAGGGATTTTAGGAATGGTACTGTAATCTAGCCCTTGGTTTTATATGGTTGTATAAATGTAAACATGAGGTTTAAACTGGATGGGGGAAGTTATTCTTTAAAAACAGTCAGGAACGGGATTAATGTTGCTCTATTTATTCCACATTCCATAATATTCCCTAAAATACCAACTAAATAGATTAGTAATGTGCACAAATGCTTCCTGTGAGCTCGCTCTCCTTGCGTGCTTGTTATCCATAGAAAAGGTGAATTTTCATGGAGCCTTTCTGAACACGTTATCAGCAAATCTTACCCAAAACGTGTTCAGTCGTATTCTGTAAGTGTGAAATGCTGTGCTTTGGTGAATGGAAAGTAAGTGTAAGACGGCGAGGAAGCAGGAGGGAAGCAGTACAGTTAGCAGGGAGGGAAGAACTCTTAAAAATGTATTTGCATTGTTCGTAAGAAGGTGGGTGAGATATGCCTTTATGTAGTAGGTATGCCCAGTGAAGGCTTTGAGGACATTAGTATGTAAACTATGGAAATAAATAAACAATGAAGTTGCTCACTTCGGTTTTGCCTGAAGTTCCTAATCTC